CCCCAAAACCCCAAAACCCCAAAACCCCAAAACCCCAAAACCCCAATATTAAGAATTTGGTTGAGCTACAAAAGTTCAGTTATTTAATAACTTTTATAATTTTTTACCGAAATGAAGCTTACAATTGACGATAGCATTCATGACAAGTTTCACTCACTTGAGCTTGAGGATGATGGTAAGACTGTCAGTGGATTTGAACTAACGTCTTTACAGCAGCAGTAGAAGACCTGAAGGTCCTGATTGAGGTCCAGTGTGGTGTCCAGGTTGATGAGCAAACTCTAGTCTTTCAAGGGTCTTATTTACAAGAGGATTCGAGCAAATTAAAGCATTTGGGCATGAGAAATAATGATATTGGTAAGAGAATAAGCTAGAGTTGTTGCTAAAAACTGTTGTAAAGTAATTTTTGAATTTAGGATTATTTTTCTGTTAGAATCCATTTTTGTTTGCTTATATTTTTATGTAGTACAATTACAGAAAGCAGTAGCCCGTCCACCTCCTTCTTATGGAGGAATGGGAATGCCAGTAGGAGGCGGTGGAATGGGAGCCCCTGCTCCTGCCCCTGCTCCTGCACCAAACTTCCTAGATCAAATGATGGGTTCCCTCGGAGGAGCTCCTGGCGGAATGGGAGGAGGCCCTCCAATGGCCACCATGGATCCTTTAAGTGCAGAGTATCAGAAAGCCTTAGAAGAGCGCATTCAGCAGAATAATATTGATGAGAATTACAAGCATGCTTCTGAATTTAATCCAGAATTGTTTGTTCACACCACGATGCTTTACATTGAGTGTAAGATTAACGGGAATGAGCTCCAAGCATTCGTAGACTCTGGGGCTCAAAGTACAATTATGTCTCACCAATGAGCTGAGAGATGTAACCTCTTGAGACTTATGGATAAGAGATTCTCTGGAATAGCTAAAGGAGTTGGAACTTCTAGAATTCTGGGTAAAATCCATGCTGCTCAGATTCAGATAGGAGATGTATTCTTTACAACATCCATTACAGTGCTAGAAGACGATAAGATTGATATGCTATTTGGATTGGACAATCTGAAAAGACATAAGTGTTCTATTGATCTCGCTAATAATCAGCTAACTCTAGACGAAGGCAAGGTCGCTGTCCCCTTCCTTAAGGACGAAGAGATCAATTGCGATTATGTTGAAGAAGCCAAGGAAGCCATGATGAACGTTGATAAAAACAATAATATGCCAGAAGACGAGAAGATCGAAGAATTATTGAAGATGGGTTTTGAAGAAGCTGATTGAATCAGAGCACTCAAACAAGCAGGTGGAAATCTCCAATTAGCAGCAAGTATTTTGGGAAATATGTAGCTCATAAATTCTAATCCATGTTTTACTAATCTAACCATCAGTGACTCCCTTCAATCTTGTCTTCTTTTAATAACCATTTCTGGAGTTGGTAAATTCTCAAAATAAATTTGGTTGCTTGGCAAATATATTCTGAGCGTACAGTTTCCAATATTCTAGAACTCCTAGGGGTTTTGGGGTTTTGGGGTTTTGGGGTTTTGGGG